TACAGCTGTCTACCTCTAACCTCAATGACTGGGAACCAGACCCCCAGACAAGCCACAGGGAGGGAGGTCACGAACTTACGCTGCTCTTTGCACCCTTCAATTGAAATGTATTTCCATTTCGAAAATGGATACGGCCCTATCGATCTTGTTGTTCATTTTCGCCAAGAAAAGAAAGTGGCAAAAGATATTGGATTAACGTAAAGAAGCCACTTTCTCGGTTTAATGGGAAATCTTGTTTGCCATTTCCATGAGATCCGAAACGTGGAGTCCTCGACAACCTCCATTCGTACAGGAATGTCAATGGAATTGATAAAGATGAAGACGTCCAACGAGGCCGAAAGCATTTTAAGTCACTTGAATGATCATAACCTGTTAAAGTTACCACGGTGGAAGAAACGACTGAGGAAAAAACTTTATAAATACGTACCCCTGCAGTGTGAGTATGTAACGGGCGAGACGGGGTCAGGAGGAGGGGTCAGGCAAGGTTTGGGGATTTTGATATTTTCTGTCCAAAAATTGTCATATTTGCCACCCCTGTCAGGACACCGAAATTGGTAAAAAAAAAGTGTCAAAATCCCTACCTTAGGGAAAGTGAGTGTGGTCATTTATAACGATTGCCAAAATTCCTCATGCACCCAAGGGACAATGACAGAAAATCAAAATACCTACCTTGGGGACTGCCCTCACAGTCAAATTTCTATGGCTAGCCTGACAACCTCCTTCTTCTTGGGCTTTATGTTAAAAGGTACATTGAGAAAATGCCAATTAACTTAGAGAAGATAAGCTAAGCCTGCCATTGTATGAAGCACAAAATATAGAATTTTAGGTCAACTCCACTGTCTGGTTCATAAAGTAATTGGCACCTACATATAATCTACATCTATATAGAATATATGTAGCACTAGGATGTATGAAAACAAGACACCCATCTTGGTACTCAAAAGGATTCAAACCACAGAGGTGGTGGAGTCTGTACAGTGGTGTGAGAATGACATCTAGAACTAACTTTAAGATGTTGATATTGGCCCATCCCTTCATATCATAAGAAAATACTTTGGGAAACAATCTGCAACATTGCTGGATTATTTATGAGCACAGCTGTGTATGAGAATTTGGAATTTTAATTGCACAAAACAATGTTACATACGAATAGATCACTCTTTGCAGAGAGATATTTGCAGGTGATATGTTGATGCTTGGCCTATCTAATGATGATCTCAACTACCTGTGT